AAAAAAAAAAGAAAGACAATCTAAATGCCCAGTTTGGTGTAGTTGGTGAGGATTCATATTACTGGTCCTGGAAGAGACTGTGAAACTGTAAAACCAAAGCTGTAAGTATCTACATCCAGCCAAATGCAGGAAAGGAGAGAGATTCACAATGCATATGCTAAAAGTGCTTCTAATGGTAACAGGAATCCCAAGCAATGGCAGGAAGCAGCAATTCCTGTGACAGACACAGAACCTATTTCTGGAACCCTTGAAGCAGTTTCTTCCAGTTATTTTAAGCTAACAGAAGAGGGGATTTCCCTAATGCTGCCCAATCACGTAAGTTCTATGACCCAGGATTTCTGGCCAAATCTGAGATACCTTCCTTCCCCTCACAGATGCTATTGCCACTATTGGTACTAAAGTCATGGGCAGTCATGTTATGAATGACCAATGAACGGCAAGTCCCTGAAGAGATTGAGGGCATTATCGTGAACACTCTTTGCCAACAAAGAGGAGAAATGTGAGGCTCATTAAATTAAAGTCCTTGACATCTTCCCTAGAGGACTTTACATCCTGAAAGGAAACTAGAGTCCAGTCACTCACTTCAGGGCCTAAGCTTAGAGTGGGCTGTGGCCTCTTTTTAGAACGGCAAACACTGAGGAGATATATGGAAATCAGAGACTCTTGGAACCTTGATAAAGAGAAGCTTTCCTTATTTGCATCATTGGGGAGGAGGACTTTGATTTATGCTTAACAATCACTGTCAATGGTCATCAAATACCTGGAACACGGAGACTAAGACAACAATGTGGAAGGCATAGTAGAGCACTTTGTCATTTAAGTAAGGAAACATGGTTCATTCTCAGCCTAATTCTCTGCACTACCATTTATTAAGGAGCTCTAGTAGCCTAGTGTTGTACATAGGGTTGCTGAGTCACAGGTGACTTGATGGCACATAACAATGACAACAGTTGCCTAGTGGGTAAAAAGTTGCACTGTCAAACCACAGGCACATAGTCTAAATTCACTAACTGTTCTGAGGAAGAAAATAAAAAAGCTCTTCTCATGTGATTTACAGCCTTTGAAAACCCTCTGGAGGTTCAGCTATGAGTAGGTTCTGATTCAATGGTACATGACAACAAGAAGAAGAAGATCACTATCTGTTAGTCCAATAAAGAACATATTTGGAAAATCTGAGAGCCTTATTATGAGCGCCTCCCCCTGCACAATGATGATTGTGAGTAAGAGGTCATCTGTAACCCAGCTTCCTCAGTTCACTGACTTGCTTGCTCTTCCCTGGGAAAGTCCCTACAGTCTGCTTTTGCACCTGGCAAAGTCACTAAGATCTAGAAAGACAAAGAAAACTATTATTAACATGATTGAGAAATACTCAGTTCACATCAATACGGAGCTTAAATCAATCCAGATTGAGGGAAGCAAGAAATTGATTTTACTTGGACAGACGCCACCTACTAGTGA